CCCCCCCCTTGTACCTTTCCTCCCCTCCCCTACCCTAGGATTCTAGAAGACTAAACAATGCGTCTAGGATAGTCTAGAAGACCAAACACTGCGTCTAGGATAGTCTAGAATGTCAAGCACTGCGTCTAGGATAGTCTAGAAGACCAAACACTGCGTCTAGAAATTGTCTAGAAAACCAAACACCGCGTCTAGAATAGTCTAGAAAGTCAATCACTGCATCTAGGATGGTCTAGAGGACCAAAAATGCGTCTAGGATAGTCCAGAGGACCAAACACTCCGTCTAGGATAGTCTAGAGGACCAAACACTGCGTCTAGGAAAACGATATTCTAATTCCATCAAGTTAGGGCTGGGGCACTAACCCCCTCGGGTACGGGACCGATACTCACATCTATTATATTTAGATACGTAAAAACGTATTTGTTTCTTTTGTATAACTCAAATTATTTAGTATTAATATTCCTTGATTTGGCCACTCTGAACTGTTTCCTAATCTGGCGAACTGCGACTTTTGATCACTTTTTGACGTATAAAACATAAATTTTTCGAATTTTCTCTTTTTATACTTTTTTGTCTAACAATGCATTTTAGATTGTGGAAAGATTGTTGAATGATTGAATTTAATTAGAAGAAACCGAACCTATGTGGCCCTGGTTAGTCCAGGTAGTGGCTTGTATTATGTAGATATATTGTAAGAGTAAAAAAACTGAATCAACATCTTTTTTTAAAGTTTAAATTTAATTTTATCCAGGCCCGTAACCAGGGGGGGGGGTGCAAGGGTGCAGGTGCAAGAAAAAATAGAAGTAGAAGGGTTTTATTGTGTACTCAAAAATTCACTAAGAATGTCTCAATGTCTCAATGTCTCAATGTCAATAAATAAACTCTTTTAAATGAGATATTAGAAATTTTATTTTTCATTCATCTTCATAATATCATGATGAGGCCGAGGGACAAGAAGCCTTGATTTTAAATAATGAATTTTTTCCTCTCTCCTCCCTCTATAGTTTATTAGGGGACCAGCGCCCCCCCCCCACTCCTATTAAATGTAGCCGGCCCAACTGGCCCTATATAAACCCTAAAAGAATAAATCCTTATTATTTATGGTTGTATGGGTGTGATCCATAGAGTACAATAGAGGGAGTTTTCCAGTAGTTTCAGAATATAATAACGGTGTCGATATCATAGTTTTCCAGTAGTTTCAGAATATAATAACGGTGTCGATATCATAGTTTTCCAGTAGTTTCAGTTTCAGTCTACAGTCCCTTTACGTCTACAGTCCCTTAACGTCTACAGTCCCTTTACGTCTACAGTCCCTCATTGTCTACAGTCCCTTTACGTCTACAGTTCCTTTACGTCTAGAGTTCCTTTACTTCTACAGTCCCTTTACGTCTACAGTCCCTTTACGTCTGCAGTCCCTTTACGTTTACAGTCCCTTAGCGTCTACAGTCCCTTAACGTCTAAAGTCCCTTTACGTCTACAGTCCCTTTACGTCTACAGTTCCTTTACGTCTACAGTCCCTTAACGTCTACAGTCCCTTAACGTCTACAGTCCCTTTACGTTTACAGTCCCTTTACGTTTACAGTCCTTTTAAGTCTACAGTCCCTTTACGTCTAAATTTCCTTTACGTCTACAGCCCCTTTACGTTTACAGTCCCTTAACGTCTACAGTCCCTTTACGTCTACAGTCCCTTTACGTCTAAATTCCCTTTACGTCTACAGTCCCTTTACGTTTACAGTCCCTTAACGTCTACAGTTCCTTTACGTCTATAGTCTCTTTAGGTCTAAAGTCTTTTTAAGCAACGTTAGAGCAATTATAAAACGACTGTTCTAATTACAAATATATACTTTGCTTGGATGTTTGTTTGTGTCCAATAAACGTCAAAACGTCTGAACGGATTGGGACCAAATTTTGTGTGGGACATCACGGGACCCCAGGGAAGGTTTCTGGATGATCAAAATTTAAAAAAAATCCACGATGTTTTTTTAGAAAATCTGTAAATATTTTGTTTGTTTTTGTTTTACAATGTACACAAAGAGAAAATGTTTACAATTGAAATAGAAGATGGGCAAAAAATTGTACTTTTAAAGCCATGTAACAAATATTCTATGATTCCGTTTAACAAGAAAATGTTCCAATAGGTCCGTCTATTGATCTCTATGTGATGTAGGTAGCGTGGGAGGGGGCGGAGCACCCCAGGGTGGTATTTACTATAAGAAGGGGGAGTGGGCGGGGCAGTGCAACTGTTCTAATTTAACCGGGTTTAGTGATTTACGGATTTAGAATGGTTTTCAGATATAAATATTCTAATATTCTAATATACTAATATTCTAATATTCTAATATTCTAATATTCTAATATTCTAATATTCTAATATTCTAATATTCTAATATTCTAATATTCTAATATTCTAATATTCTAATATTCTAATATTCTAATATTCTAATATTCTAATATACTAATATTCTAATATTCTAATATTCTAATATTCTAATATTCTAATATTCTAATATTCTAATATTCTAATATTCTAATATTCTAATATTCAAGGGAGATGATACGTTCTCGGAGCAAGGTTTGGCTGCTATGCTGAGAGAAATATTTATTATCGGAGCTGAGTCTGAATCCGTCATGATGAGATGGGTCTTCAGAATACTTTCATGTAACCCTCAGGTTAATCCATATATATAAAGTTGTAATCTACGTTCGTCTGTCTGCTTGTTTGTCCGATCATAACTCAGGAACCCCTGGACTGATTTGCGTCAAATTTTGATTTGGGAACTCGAGGGCGGCCCACGGGAATTTTCTTAGCTTGGTTTATAGATTCTAAGGTGATTGGGTCGACTTAAAAAAACGAAAATGTAGTTTCCCGGTAAAATCGATCAAGTGCGGGTAAACGCCAAAAGTAACTTTTTGTAACCTTGGCAGTGCTTGGTTCCCAGGCTTATAGTACTTAATATTTCATTACTGGTAGACAACATTAACAGAGTCGTGTCGGTTATTATATGTGTAACCTTCAAAGAAAAGTTTGTAAAATAACCATTTGCAGCAAAAAATTGTTTATCCTTTACTAAATCTAATTACATTTGAAAATTTGAATGATTCTTATCATCTTATAAGACACATTTTAAAAAACAAAACGAACTGCAATTTTTTCGGGTGATTTTAAGAGATTTTTTCCTGTAAACTGTAAAGTTTGCTTTTACAAAGTTTAAAATATAACAGGCTTCATAATTCATAAACTCAAAATAAGCCTCATAATACAGTGATGTTCTAAATACCCGTGTCATACATACAGGAGCGGAATCTCTCTAAAGTTTTAACTATTTAAACACAATATGACATTTGCCGATATTTATTAATGTATTTTGATTGGAAAAACACATTAAAAATTATCCATGTCTCGAGTAAATAAATTAACTGTTTAATGATTTGAAAGGAAGACGACATTCAAGATTACTGTCTTGCAATTACCCACTGATGAAATATTTGTCAGCTAATAGTTTTTAATGTTTTAACATTGTTTTTTTTATGTCTAAAATTGTGTTGAAATGGTTAAAACATTAGTGTGAGTCCGCTCCATTCACTACACCGAAATAATATAAACTGATTGATAACTTAAAGTCGTCTTTGACCTTAGAAATTGCTTGCGGCATTTAATATGGATAAAGTGATTTTAGGAATAATTTATACGAAACAATTGATAATCATGAAATAGCCCTAATCCTGCCATTTCCAAAATGTGGTCGGCCAATTTTTGTTCTAAAAAATAAAATCTGTTAATTAAAAACATGAAATTGTCTCATTCTGAAAAAAATCATTCATACCTCCGGTAATTCTGAAAGCACGAAAAAAATAGACCCGTTTTGGAAATGGCAGGACTATAGGGCTATTCTGTAATTATAGTTTAAAAATATTGATAAAATCAGATAAGCTATGTTGAATGCCGCAAACTATGTATAAGGTCAAAGACGACTTTAACTTAACAATCAATTTATATTATTCCGGTTTATATTGAACATCCCTGTGCAAGTTTTCCCCCCACAAATTTAGGTTAAAAGATGAAAAATAACATGTTTCTTTTGGATTTTAGTTCAACCTTGTAAATTTTAACTGGTTGCAGGTTCAGAAGAAGATCCAGGCTGAACTAGAAGCAGTTGTCGGACCTAAAACTGAAGTCAAGTGGGAGAACAAAGACGACCTGCCATATACGATGGCGGTCATCAAGGAGATTCAAAGGTATGCTTGTGATATAATTACAACTTCATTACTGAAAGAATTGAAATTGAAAAAAAGTTTTAGAGTTTTCAGTTGCACTATAGAGGACGTGAGTCAGACTCTAATAAAACGCATAGATAACTTCCAGTATATATATTTCTTATAACTTATTACTAGAGGGTTCAGAACTAGAGTCAATATCGATATCGCACGTGTAGACTGTAGAGATCATATCAGTACTAATGCCCCGTATCCGTTCTATCTCATTCTGTTGAATCTTGTGGAACTAGTTTAACGCGGCCAGGCATCGTCTTCCACAGCACTAACATTTCCTGATAAAAAACATCATATTCTAACATAACTAAAAAGATATGATGAGTCAAAACTATTAATCAAAAAAACAAGAATCAATGATTTTTTAATATTTATAAGATATGCTGATATAGCCCCAACTGGACTGATGCATAAGACGATGTGTGATGTAAAGATTGGTGAATATACCCTTCCTGAGGTAATATTATTCAAACCCTGCATTAAACCCATATCTCTGCTTTCTTTTTTTAAGTTACTTTTTCTTATACAAGTGCCCGACATTGTCTTTAAGATTCTCAAAAAACCGTCCAACTCTGTAAAAACGTCCTTCTGCACAAAACGGTTAATCTGTCTCCCAGGTTAGGGTGCAAATTTACCATTTTATCACCATTGTCTCTGTTAGTTTTACAATGCCATCTTTGAGAACATACATACTCACATACAATTATGTTTAACTAGCTTAGGAACCCTGTTCCGCTTTAAAGTTAAACCTACATATTTTAGAACGTTTAAACCTAGGAACATTTATTCATGTAATTCTACCTAGTTCCCCAGTAAACATTTGAGCGATTTATGTCAAGGGGTTATGATCGGTCATACAAACAAAGATTACTATTATATTTATATACTAGCTCAAGGGCCCGGCGTTGCCCGTGGAAAAAAAATTGAGAAAAAAAATCGAATTTTATTAGCCTATAACACTCCCCGGCCACCCCTGAGTGTTCATAAAAAAATTCAGCCCATTCAGTCGAGCCGTTTGGCCGGCTATAGGCAACATATATATATATATATATATATATATATATTTGATGTTGATGTTGATGTTGATGTTGATGTTGATGTTGATGTTGATGTTGATGTTGATGTTGATGTTGAGGATGATGATGATCTAGATATTTCTGGTGGTCTCTAACCTGCTGCAGGAGTTCAGCTTGAGTATGCCTGGAGAGGATGCTGGAGTTATTGCTACACAATTCAAGGTAATTAACTCAAAACAAATCTTTGCAAAAACTTTATAGCTTTAGAGAACTTAAAGGAATATTAAGTCGAAAAATTCCGATAGTCGCGAAACAGAATTTTTACGGGGCTAAAGGTGGAAGCGTAACTTAATGAGAATTCTCAAAGAAGTAGTTACTCCAAGTTTTATCCTCACTTCAAATGAAAATGTTCAAAAGTTTTAAAGGAAATAAGTAACTTGCCAGTAATACATCCGGGAACTGTTGAACGGTATTAATTAATGTTGCAACATTTTAATGAACACAATTTTATTACGAAAGATGTTCTTTTCCTTTGATTGTTTTTTACAATTTTATACCTACAATATTTATAATATCTTTAATATTTTATTTATATTTGTAGAGTGGAACATCTGTACTCAGGAATCCCAGGCCATACCGTGTTGTTATAAATAACAAAGTCAGTAACTAGTTCCTGTCAACAGCATTGTCAGCTTTTAGTTGCTGTCAACAGCATTGTCAGCTGTTAGTTCCTGTCAACAGCATTGTCAGCTGTTAGTTCCTGTCAACAGCATTTTCATCTGTTAGTTCCTGTCAACAGCATTGTCAGCTGTTAGTTCCTCTCACAATTATTGTCAGCTGTTAGTCACTGTCAACAGCATTGCCAGAAGTTGGTTACTGTCGACTGCATTGCCAGTAGTTACTTTCTGTTAACTGTATTGTCAGCTCATGATTCCTGTCAACAACATTGTCAGTAGTTGCTTACTGTCAGCAGCATTGCCAGTTGTTAGTTAATGTCAATAGCATTGTCAGCTGTTAGCTGCAGTTAGCAGCTTTACCAGATTTAGTTGCTGACTACATTAATATCAGTAATTACTCAGAGCTCAGAGCTGCTAATGATATCAACAGCAGTACTATCTGCTAATTGATGTCAACAGCAGTACGAGCTGTAATTTGCTGTCATCAGCACTATCAACCGTAATTTGTTGTCAAAGCAGTACCAGCTGTAATTTGCTGTCAACAGCAATATCAGCTGTAATTTGCTGTCATCAGCACTGTCAGCTGTAATTTGTTGTCAAAGCAGTAACAGCTGTAATTTGCTGTCAACAGCAAAATCAGCTGTAATTTGCTGTCATCAGCACTATCAGCTATATTTGTTGTCAAAGCAGTACCAGCTGTAATTTGCTGTCAACAGCACTATCAGCTGTAATTTGCTGTCATCAGCTCTATCATAAGTTGCAGCAATAATGTCAACATCAATGGATCTATCAGTGACTTTAAATTAATATTATATATTTATTATATTATTATATGTTGTTGCTGTCAATCTATCTCTTTTTGTTTATCTCGGCATTGTTAAAAATAAATGTCAGAATTGTATCAACAGAAATATAAAATTTATCGAACTTCTTTTAACACTTTTATCTGTAATATTCATTAAAGAGACCCGAGTCTGAATTTAATGAATTTGAGCCGCGTCTCAAATCCCCCAAAAACCGGTTTCAATTGAGCGCCAGCTTAAATCTTGAAACATTGAATACGATTTTAGGTGGAACCAACCATATTTGAGACGCGGCTCAAATTCTTGAAATTTGGCCTCAGAAGTATGTTATAAAGATTTACAGTAAGACCCATAAAACTGTAGATAAGAAGACGACTGTAGGACTGCATTTATAATTTTAGATAAAACACAATAACTGGTTCATTGCACATGATTAATTGATTTTCAACCTACTGGTAATACTATACTTATCTCAGATAAAGTAAATGACGACTTCCTTTTCCGTAGTTTTATGGGTCCCCCTGTATTATGATATAGCATTAAGCTCCCTTTTGTATATTTTATTTTACATTTCATGACAACACGTTATCCGCAATATAGGAATAAATAAATGATTTAAGACAGCAATTTATTGGAAAAGTATATTGATAAATATTGAAAAAACAAATTAAATAATATTTTAGAGAGAAATTATCTTGATTTAAGAAGCTGATGAATTATAGGCAGCCAATTAAACACAACAGTACAGCTCCATTATTTAAACAGGAAGCTCTACCCCTGTGTTCTAGTAGCTGGGCCTAGGTAGCAGCTAGCTGCTTCTATCCTTCACTAGCTGCTTCTATCCTTTGTTAGCTCCTTATATCTTCTAGTAGCCGCCTCTAACTTCTGGTAACTGCTTCTATCCAATTTAGTAGCTGCTCCATCTTCTAGAAGCTCAAATTTCTAGTAGCTGCTTCTAACTTCTAGTAGCTGATTCTGACTTCTAATAGCTGCTTCTATCGTCCGGTGGCCGCTTTTTCTTCTAGAAGCTGAGTTTTCTTTAGTAGCTGCTTCTATTGAGCAGTAAGTAACTCCTTTTATATCTTCTGTGTAGCTAGTTTAGGTGTTTTTGTTTCTTACAGCTATTGTGCCTCCGTATTTTTTAAACCTTCTTTCAAAGTCACCAAGCTGCATTTGTAATTTTTGATTAGTTCATCAGAATGATGATTTCATCTAGGATTATATTACTGGAAAACTTGCCGAATGCAATTTTCAAGTTACGTAATATTGTTGTTTTAGTGTGTGTGGACGCTAATCATCAATTATCTGATAAAAATTATATCAAGGAGGGGAGAGGGGGGGGGGTACTTCATTGCAGTTGAAAAATTCAACAAAAAGCTCATTTTAACGATTTTACTGAACAAGTTCTTAATAGTATACAGTTTTCTTCGCTCAAAACAGATTTGGTGAAAGAAACTCTTTAGTTGATAAAATTCTCCATATTTACATCGATATAGTAATATTCCGGTTCTTCAATAGAAAAATTGTTTTATGCTGTAATATTATTGCAAGAAGAGCATACTGCAAAAAAAATGTACTTTTCTCTGACACTAAACCTCTTATGTAAACACGTTGCAGCATTGTAAACTATAATAAATCATTTTATGAGACTAATAAACACAAAAATGTTTTAATTTAGTATTTTTACTTGTTTTAAAACAAAGTAAATAACATTTTTGTTTACATATTTAAAATTTACAATTATCTTTCAAACTTTACCTTTTTATTACTATGTGCATGAATTTTTACCATAACCTTTTAAAAGTTGTTTATTTCATCTAAAGGAAATGAGTTTTTGCCACAAACTCTTACTGTTTTTCCCCATATCTTAGCAACCCGATGTCGTGTACCTTAGATATTTCAAACTATGAATTCTGTTGGATCAAATAGTCTAAGTTTGAAATATCATCGGTTCAAACCATCTGGTTGCAAAGATATAGGGATTAGAAAATTCGAGTTTGTTGCAAAAACTCAATTCCTTTGTGAATAAGTTAAACAAAGTTTAAGTATATACTTCATCAGTATATTTAAAAAATGTAACTATTATCATCACACTGAACGCAGTGGAATTAGTTCATTTTAAATAAAACTTTTAAATATACTTCTATAGTTTACATAATAAATAGTATAGATATTTAATCAAGTATGAAAAAAGAAAAGATTATCAATATTTACATTTTTACAGTTCAAACGTTTATTTAATTTTCTAATTATAAATCATCGAGCTCTCCATAATTAATCAAAGGTTTAAACGACAGATATAATATTTTTCTATCAACAGGGAAAGATGAACGCTTGCAACTCAAGAACGTACAGAACTAGCAAAAAAGTATTCTCTTTTTTTAACTAGATTTTACAGGTGTAACAATTCTAGTTTTGTTGCTATGTTAATCTGCTAAATGCCAAATAATAAAGTTTAAAATACTTAAATCCCGGATTACAAAAATGCACCAAATTAAAGAAGATTCGAGAACTGCAGTTCCGCTTTCTCTCAATACTTTCTCCAAGGCCTGTGGCCTTGAAACGATGCAATAGTGTGCAAAAGTACATTCTCCCTGTAGCTGGGGTGGGGGGGGGAGGTGCATTGATTATGCATTGAAATAGAGTTGGGGGGAGGGGGGGGGCACATGCAACTCTCTGAAATTTTTACAGCTTTCAGAAATAAAGCGTGAAATCGTGAGATTGCTATTTTTGTAACAAAATAAGAGAAAAACGCCTTGAATTATGATTTTTATGATTTCTATTTATCTTTTTCATTAAGATTTAAAATGCTTACAACGTTAATGGATTGAATTTTGTATTCTCTATAACGATATGATTCTATTTCTACTATCTTTCAAAGAATAAGAAACATAACTATTTCATGAAAATAGATTAAAATTGAATAAAAAACTGATGACTATCGTATTAAATATTAAGATAAAAGTTATGAAAATATATCAATTATGTTTTTTCCACCTGTTTTTCTTAATATTCAATTTGTCTTTATTTGTTTTTCTTCATATATTTTCTTCTTGTTGAGTACTTTTGTTGTTGTTGAGAATATATTTGTTGTTGTTGCGAATATATTTTGTTGTTGAGAAAGTTTTTGTTGTTGTTGTTGAGAAACTGGTTGCGAGCAGAGGCAGTGCAATAAGCCGTTGTAACCAACAACCAGCTAACCACACTGCCACAGCTAACAACCAACAGCCAGCTAACCAAACTGCCACAGCTAACAACCAACAACCAGCTAACCAAACTGCCACAGCTAACAACCAATAGCCAGATAACCACACTGCCACAGCAAACAACCAACAGCCAGCTAACCACACTGCCACAGCTAACAACCAAAAGCCAGCTAACCCTACTGCCACAGCTAATAACCAACAGCTAGCTAACCACACTGCCACAGCTAACAACCAACATCCAGCTAACCATACTGCCACAGCTACCATCCAAAAGCAAGGTAACCATACTGCCACAGCTACCATCCAAAAGCCAGCTAACCACACTGCCACAGCTAGCAACCAACAGACAGCTAACCACACTGCCTCAGCTAGCAGCCAACAGCCAGCTAATAATACTGCCACAGCTACCAACCATAAGCAAGGTAACCATACTGCCACAATTAACAACCAAAAGCCAGCTAACCACACTGCCACAGCTAGCAACCAACAGCCATCTAACCATAATACCACAAAAAAACAACCACATAGCCACAGCTGGCAACCAACAACCAGATAACCACACTGCCACAGCGAACCCTTTTACCTAAACTTATTACAGGCTAACCATTCTGCCACAACTTACCACACTACCACAGCTAACAACCAACATTTAGCTGACCCGAAGCAAACAACCAGCTAACCCTACTGCCGTAACTAACAACAAACTAGCCATCTTATTACATCTTACAACCAGCCAACCACACTGCCACACCTAACATTCCCATAACCAGCTAACCACACTACCACAGCTAACAACGAGAACACAGCTAACAACCAGCTTACCATACTGCCACAGCTAACACCAAATAACCAGCTAACCATACTGTCACAGCTAACACCAAATAACCAGCTAACCACACTGCCACAGCTAACACCAAATAACCAGTTAACCACACTCCCACGGCTATCGTACAGCAAACGACATACAGTTATCGTACCTAACAGGATCAGGTAACAACCAACAGCCAGCTTCGGTTCAACGGAATTCAACTGAAAAAGGAAATGATGTTAAAAAAATGAAGAAAAATAATATTGATTACAACATTTTTATGTCATATTCACCGGTCACTGTAAATTCGAAATCTATTTTCAGAGAGGGAAAAACAAGTTCCCCAATCAAAATTTAAGGGAACGGTAAAAGGGTTCCTGAGTTATGATCATACATCCAAACAAACAAACAGAGATTACTATTTTTTATACATATATATGGAGATAAAAGAATATGCATTGTACAAAGCAGTATAGTTTATACGTATACACAACAATAGTATGCATGCATATTTTTATCAGATTATTCTGTAAACCATTGAATATATATAATCTTGTAACCTGGATAACCTTTAAATGACACGGACTTTAAAATCAAAAGAGCAACAAAGAAACCGTATTATGAATGTGTAGTGTGTACTAGGGTGAACTAGAAACTTATACAGATCATCTTTTCAGGATAAGTCAAATAAAAATATTAGTCAGGTTCAGTAGTCTGGTTGTTACCAGTGCTATTCAAACTAATTATTAGTCGAGTTCATTAGTCTGGTTGTTACCAGTACTATTCAAACTAATTATTAGTCGGGTTCATTAGTCTTGTTGTCGGGTTCGTTGGTCTGGATGTTTTAGCTTTTAGCTTAAGTCAAATAAAAAGATTAGTCTGGTTCATTAGTCTGGCTACTATGAGCACCAGCCAACATAACATTATTTAAGCTTAAAAGTTTTACAGTTATTTTTCTTCATATTTTCATAGTGACTATTGAGCTTATTTATTTATTTTAGCATGTTGATATATTTAATACTGTTATAAAAATGATTAAAAGTAGCATAATAGTTTGATTTAAAATCAAATTAAATTAAATTATGCTTTTGCTGCAAGTTAATCAAGTGAATGAAGTCAA